GTTGCCAGCTTTTGTAAAAATCACGTAAACGGCACTGAGCACAAGAATATCTGCGCTCCCCTGGAACTACGTATTCGTTCAGATTTATTAGCTATAAGAGGAGAGACCGGTTCTCCAGATATGCGTTGTTACTTGCGACACGTTACCGACGAGGGTAAATTTCAGAACATGAAGGACTTTATAAACGCTCATTGGAATATTTCGACTGACTCGGAGATGCAGCGCAATATCTTGATAGGCCAATACTCGCTGTATATGACATGTCCCTTGACGTTGTTTCATGCTATGCGATTATTGAACTGTGTCCCAAAAAACAAAGCTATAGTCATTCATGTTGTAGGTGCAAATGACTCGGAAGAATTCAGCTTGATGGGGTGGGAAATTTTTCTGCGTTTAATAGAGACCGCGATGCCAGTGACGATGATAGTGATTGGATCGAATTTACAGCGTAATATCCATATGTTGTCGGAGAACAAAAATTTGAAATTTGATTTTTACGATATGTTATACGAGAACTATGTACGCAGCTCGTCATTCGTAAAACCGGACTTGATTGTAGGGTTTAACTCGTGTATTGACCAGCATAAACTTGGGTCCAGTAAGGAAACGTGGGCGCCGTCCATTAAGCTGATAGCGAAACAAAACTGTCCGTTCATCTTAACGTCTCCCACGCTATCTACATTTAAGAAGGAGACAGACATAATAAACACAATTCTGGGTAGAAAGGTAAATTACCTCTATAGTGGAGAGAATCCATTCGCTGGTTTAAGTGCGTTTAGAAGCGTCGCGCCGGAGTATGTATTTTATTTGAATCGGTATATAGTTATTTACAGGAGTCTTTGTTTGTAACTGATGTAATTTAAGCGTCTAATTTAAGCGACCGATATAAATGAAAGGCTGTGTTTGATGCTGAAGAAAACGTGTTGCGTGCGAAATGAAAGAGTACACTAGTTAAATGGAATTTAACCGCGTTTAAAAATGCAACGGATGGGACGCAGAGAAAACTATGAACTACAACCGCGAATCGCGATATGTGAGGTGTGTCTTCACGAAACGAACTCAAAAAGACTGTGATTCGATACTCCGGAATGTCTGCTTATATTTATAATCCCAAAAATCATAGGGTCTATTTTTTTTTATTTATTAGTCGATTGTGTTACATATCAGTCGAGCGTAATGGATAATTTTTCTTTAAATGAGATCCGATATTTCGGAATGTCTGCTTATATTTGTAATCCCAAAAATCTATTTATAGGAATCGATTATATCAGTCGAGCGTAATGAATTTTTGTTTAGTTTAAAATATTAATGCAATAACCGTTTCTTTTAATTTTGTTTAACGAATACATTAATGCAATAACCGTTTCTTTTAATTTTGTTTAACGATTACAAGACTTTTTGTTAATCATTTGTAATAAAGACACGATTTTTCGTTAATTGTTTGTAATAAAATATATGTCAAGTATTTTCGAAATGGCAGTTATTTCTTCTCCGTCGATATTCATGACATCTCTCACATCACACGTGTAAACAAATGCCTGCGACAATTGACGATAGAAACAATGGCAGAACTCGAGTGGCCGTAGCAGTGAAGTTTCCCGCCGTTCTTTACGTGAGTATTGTTTCGAGAAGCGTCTGTTCCGACGAAATTATTAACATTACTAATTGTAGCATATATATATGTGCTAAGATGAACAAAATTCAATAAATATTTCTAT